GCTCTCCCAAGATTTATAGTCAGAATCAGATTTTACTGTGGGTAGGAAACTGCTCCCTATAATGGTCCTCTACCATCTCTTACGTGAGAGCACAAAGAAACGGAGGCAAAAAAAGGAAGGGAAGCAGGGAGTCAATTCACAGACTTAAAGAACTGAATACATACCATTTCCACAGGGTCTGGGAGCTTGGTTCACTGGCCGCAGCTCCTCCCATGTGGCCTGCCTGTAAAACATAGTGGTTCAATATCCGAGGTCATGACCTCATGAGAAAATAGTTCTACAATACCTCACGCACAAAAGATCAAGGTTATAGGTCATTCTCTTTCAAAATACCATATCAAAGATTCCAGAGGTGTTAGATCAACTAGAATATATTGTACAAACCAAAATTATAAACTCCAGCATTGCTTACATTTCTTAGAAAGAGAGATTGCATATATTAACATGTCAGTTTCTACTAATATGTTTGGCTACCTCTCAATACCTTCCCTCTTCCTGAAAACTACTAAAAATGTTTATATATATGTGTGTATATATATATACAGAGAGAGAGAGAGAGAAAGAGAGACACACACACACACGTATATAACATTTTATATAGGTAGATAGCTCTCAGTAGTAGAGGGACTTAATAGAATATTAGACATAATCAAAAAGAGGATTTGTAAATTGGATAAGCTAAAAGAAATTACCTAAAATGTACAGAGAAAGAAAAAGAAATAATAATAATAATAAAAGAAATAGAAAGCTAAGAGGCATAGACTGTGATAAGGGAAAGTCCATCATATGTCAAATTGAAGTTCCTGATGCAGAGGAGAAATAGAATGGATCAGAATATTATTTGAAGAGATAAAGGCAAGGAGATTTTTATAACTGATTAACAATATTCTATTGATTAAAATCTAGTCAACAGACAGAAACTACACCATTAGTTTGAGTTAGAATTCTTTTTTTAATAATGGAGAACTAAAACAAAGCAATTGTCAACTTAGAATTCTATAAACAAAGTCTTTCAAGAATTGGGACAAGGGCTAGCCCATGACATGGTGGTTAAAGTAGCTGGATCCCACATGGTTGACCTTGCAGTTTCAGTCCCAGACTAGACAGTTTGAGAAACATGCCAAGCACATATGTGTGTGTACTCAAAATCTTGAAAGGAAGGAGATGTTGAGAAGAGATTGCATTGTAATTTTTCCCCATGAAGGGTGCTTTCTTACTTTCTTTCTCTTTCTCTCTCTGTCTCTCTCTGGTAAGCTCACATGCCCACTGGCAAAAAAAAAAAAATTAATTAATTAAAAAGAGACAAGAAAGAAGGAAGAAAGAGAAAGAGAGAGAGAGAGAAAGAGGAAAGGGAAGGGAAGGAAAGGAAAGGAAAGGGAAAGAAAGGAAGGAAGGAAAGGAAAAAAAGAGAAAAGAGAAGGAATCAAGGCAAAATACATTATCAAGCAAAAAATTGCAGGTTCACCACTTGTAGGTCCTCTCTGAAGGAAATCCTAAATGACATATTGCAGACAGAAGACATGTGATCCCAGATACCAGATCTGAGATGTAAGAAGGAATGAAAAACAAATAAAGAGGCTAATATAAGGTTTGATTATAATATTAATATATATGCATATATGTGTGTATATATTTATATAATTCTAGGTTTTTGCCATAGGGTGTGTGTGCTTGCCACAGAGAAACAAGAGAGAAAGAGAGAAAGAAAGTGAGAAATCACCCCCAGTGGGAATGACCACACTGTAATCCCTTCTCCTCCATTCTCCTTCTGGGATTTTGGGCACATATGCACACATGCCCAGTGTGATTTTCAAGGTGCCAGGTCTGGGATTTTAACCGCAGCCAGCCATGTGGGAGTTCAGCGCTTTAGCCACTATGCTGCCTGCTGGCCCCAGTAGACATATTTTTTTTTTAAATCATATGTGGTTAAAAATAAGTAAGAGTGCCAGTAGGTGGCAG